GTAACCAAGCTGTTCTAACCTCTGACTGTGTGTGTGTGTGTGTGTGTGTGTGTGTGTGTGTGTGTGTGTGTGTGTGTGTGTGTGTGTGTGTGTGTGTGTGTGTGTGTGTGTGTGTGTGGTGAGAGATACCTGGCAGTGTAACATGTGTGTGTCTGAGGAGGGAGCAGAGCGCAGTATGCATCATTAGCTCGGCTAATACAGCTCTCAGGACAGATTCCACACAAAACGACCATCTCTGTTTCTCTGTCTCTTTGTCTCTCACTCCTTCTGGTAGGTCTCACACACTTAGCCCTTTCTCTGAGCCTGTCTCCCCCTCCACTCTCTCTGTCTCGCTCTCTGTGTCTGTGTGTCTCTCTCAGGGCCTGCTCAGTCATGCTCTGCTGCCTGTACTCTATAACGTCTTTGTAGCAATTGTAAAGAGTAGTGGGAGTGTGGTCTTTTATGCAGTCTGGTGATATATTAATAACTGAATAAATGTGCACAATGCAGACACACTCCCCACACATTCATCTTAACATATCAAAGCTAACTTCAAGGGTTTGTTTATGTTTCTATCATTCAGCCGAGTGCTGTAACAGTGGTTTCATAATAGAGACGTGTCAGCTAATTTGTGACTGACAGAGTTTATGAGAGGGGGTGGAGGCAGGTGCAAGTGCTTATGTTACTTGTTAGTGTATGTGTGCATGAATGTGTCCAGAGCTGTGTGTGTGAGCGCTCACGAAGGGAGATCCTCTATACGCCCTATTGTGGCTCAGGAATTTCAATATTGCTATGCGTTATTTGAGCTTTACCCTGGGGGGCTTTGCATGCAAATGTGTGTATGTGTAAAGGGTCAAATTGCATGTTACTGGATAATTGAAGATTTTGGGCTCATTGTTCAAGTTCAAGTGACTTCATTTTTGTCTGTGTGTGTCATTTAAACCCGAGACATTTAGTCTGAGACGGGCGAGACAGACTGAAGCTAATTATTACAGAGCAATTCTTCTGGCCCCTGGTTCTGAAAAGCAAAAAACTGCTTTTCTTTGTCAAAAGGCCTCCTCTACTAAGAGTTATCTTTAGGAGATGTTTTGAGTGTAAAAGTACTGCAGCATGTCGGCAACTCTTATATTTCAGCTCCTTTTTAAACATTCAAATATACTGTACATTACTCTACTACCTCAAGTTTAAACTGAATTGTAAAAAAGAAAGATTTGAGATGTTCTGCTACGGCAACATCTGATATCTCTATCATAAATGTTTGCGACTAGTTATCATGTTACTGTTATGTGCTTTATGTTAACCAGAGCCAAAACGACACGGCTGCTGCTCTCCTGCCCTCTGGTGGGAGATAGAGGGTCCTGCAGTTCAGCTGCTGAACAGCTGGGTTATTCTAGGATTACCTCCCCTCTTCCATCCTACATGACCAGGCTTAAAACACTGCTGAATGCTTTCTGTTAATGTGCAACTATTCTCAGTGGCATCCTAAGCATTTCATATATCTTCACTATATTATAGGAAAACTGTCCTTCACATCAAAACTAAAATGCAATAATACAAATATTTCCTCTTCCTCTTTTACAGGCTGTATTTCTAACTCTCTCGATCCTCTTCATTGGATAAATGTGGCGTTCATACTGAATATTTCTGCTCTGTTCAGGTGGAGAAAGCCAAACGGCCAGCCATGGTTTTGTTCCTGATTAAATATCTGATGATGTTGGTCGTTGGGATCCCCTCTGCTTTCTGGGTGGGAAGCAAGAAAACCTGTTTTGAATGGGCCAACTTTCTGCACGGACGCCGGCGCAAAGAGTAAGAAGAGAGATCCTGTGATTGTCTTTGTTTGCTTTGTTTTATACGTCTGCATGAATTCAATCTTATTCTTATTAGGGTAGTTTCTTTCTAAGGATACAAAGAGTGCGTGCTCTGTATGGACTGCTGAATATGCTATCGGATACAAAAAAAAGTTCTTCCATTTTATTGTCTTTGTGTCTTTGATAACCAGCAGTTGTAACAACCAGCAGTAATACCCTTTCACATGCCCCCCATTTGATATGTTTGTAAACCTCTCCCTCTCCTCTCTCTGCAGCAGTGGGGTGAACGAGTCCCGTCAGGTTCTGCAGGAGCAGCCAGACTTTGCCCAGTCTCTGCTGCGAGAACCACACCCCCCCGTCGTGAGGAAGTCCAGAGGGACCTCCACTCAGGTAGGACTGTCCGGACTCAGACCCTATCATCCACCTCACACAGCTTCAACACTGTGTATCTTTAGGAAAAAGCATTTACAATGTGTGCTCCGTTTATAGAAAAAAACTGCTACATATCATATCAAGCGCTTCCTAAACTCACAGTCCGACACCCGCCAGCGTTAGAGATGGCGAGTCGTTCCCGCAGCTTGGAAAAAAACAAGTCATAGTATAGCATGTGAACAGAATCATGAAAGAAGGTCGTACTATATGTAAAAGAAGAAGACATACTTTATTAATCCCTCACAGGGAAATGTCTTTCTCCACTCTGTGGTGTTTACACACATTACACACACAGGGGGATACACATCATATATTGTTGGTAGTACAGTTCATAACTTGCATTGGAACTAGTTATAGTATTTTCATCTAAAAGATGGGATGAGGAAAAGCAGAATGTTAAAAACAGTATGTTTCCTAACTTTAACAGAACATACTCTCAGTTTAATGCTCGTAGTTTTTACATCTATCTCACCTTCCATCCTCCTGCAGGGCACATCTACCCACGCCTCCTCCACCCACTTGGCTGTCCTAGATGACCTTGACGAACCAATCAGAACTCACCACGGCCCCCCCACCTCCACCAGGAGTAAAGCCAGCAGCGCCCACAGCAAGACCAGTTACCATGGCAGCCTGCGCCGCACTCGTGACGACAGGTAAAGCAGGAAGTCCATGAGCATCTGTCCGTCAGAAGTAGTGATTCAGATGACAATAAGTCTCTCTCTCTCTCTCTCTCTCTCTCTCTCTCAGGAGTGATTCTGTGGTTTACCGAGGCACAGAGGCACGCAGTTTCCATGGCAGCATGCCGCGTCTGGACCACCCGCTCTCCGCTCATGGCAGCGTGCATCAGATAGACGGCCACTCGAAGCACGGCAGCCAGCGAGACGTCTCTGAGGCCGCAGCGACCCTCGTCACACACGGGACAACAGGAAGTGACAGCCAGGCAGCTCCGAACGACGCCACCAGCGCCTGAGAGGATCATTGAGGAGGCTGTGGACGCCTTTGAAGATTTACCCTGCGCTGAGACACACCCGTCTGTGTTAAGTGTTTCCTCTCTGAAGGTGGAGAGTGTTCCAGTGATATTTTGGTTGTTCCTCGCTGATCAGCAGTTCAGTCAGTACTCGACTGATCATGAGTCAGTTTCACTGTAAAGCTGAAGTTTGTTTACATAATTATTTAAATTGACAGCGGATGACTCCTGAATGCCTGACTCAGACTAACAACAACACGTCCATCTCTCCAGACCTTCGGTGACATGCTGACTTTATTCAGGGATCATTTGGTTTCCCGGGTGAACCAGAGCTGGCACTGGATAGGAAACAATGGAAGAGAGAAAGATGGAGGACCAGCCTTTTGAAGGCGTCACCATCCTGCTGGACCTATGTGAATAGCTTTTGTAACAATCTTAAATGGTTTGCCTATTTTTGACTTATTTGGGTCTCAGTCTTGATCAAGACTCAATTATTCCCGATCCTTGTTTGCTCTGGAGCGCTTAGTGAACGATGTTTCTCAGTGTGTGGCTTCAGAGTCCTATACATGTGGGCTTAATGTGAAATCGTGGACCTTTCTGTGGTTTAGTGAATATTTTTATACTGTGAATTGTCTGTCTGCTGCTGAAAGCTTCGTTTAGTGAATTTGTATGTTTGTGTGTGAGAGTGAGAAAAAGTGGTCTTGATGTTTTAAACTGAAATCCTCCCTACAATGGTAACAATAAAAGCACAAGGGAGGGGGCTGAAAACCGTGCTATCCAGAATGTAAAGAGGTTGTTTCAGAGTCAGAAAGATGGAGATATAACACAGACATGGTCGGGTGAAACGAGCTGGAATTATATTTGGTCCAGCTCATGTGTACTTTTCTACAGACAGTTAAAAAAGGCAGCTTTAAAAAAAACGACAGTTATATCAGTCGATTAAGCGATTGGTCAGTTTTCAGTAATTTATGTCATAGAATCCAAACCCTAAACAGATTCAGAGTACTGATGAAAGTAAGCCAATATGTAGAGTAATGTGACTCAAATTCAAGAACACATCCATCTCACCATTCAAGCCTCATTGCTGCAGAAACTGGAGAGAAAACTGAACAAAACTCACAGTGCTTTGATTCTTAATTCTCTCACACTCATGGCTGAAAGGTTGTTTACTGGTGCTCTGCAAAGTGATCCTTCTGATATCACTTCACTACTTGATATGCAGCTAACTCTGTACTGTGCTCTTGGGTTTGTTTGTTTTGCTGTTCAGACATAGAACTCAAAACTCAAAGAGGTGCAGAAATGTTTCAAAAAAGAAATGTTCTTTAATTTCGGGTTGCAACATTTTCTCTGACAATATTTTACGTTTAAGTAAATGTAGCAGGAAGTGTACTGACTATTGTAAGTCTTTTTCTACGGTTTGTGTTCCCCATCCCTCATCCCTTAAGACTCAATTAACCTACCTCACCTGTATCCCCTGCCTTCTCTGTACACACACACACACACACACACACACACACACACACACGTTTCTGTAAAGAAATAGTCAAAATGTCAACACAAAAAACCAGTTCAGAAGAAATCGTTTTGCATATTTCTGAACAACCTTAACTTCAGTAAAATGTAATTTTACAATTGACTCGTGGGTTCTGCCTTCTCACACACACATTCTCTACACACACCCTTCAGTAGGATATCCGTCTGTCCTCCCCACAGTTGGCGTTGTGCTACCTCCTCCGTTCAAACAGGCTTGGATCATTTTTTGGACCTTATTTGCTGCCTCTCTCCTCCCGTCTGTAAATGTCGACATCTTTATATTTTCGAATGACCAACCTCCTGCCTGTATCTGTTGTACATAGACTCTCCGTCATCTGATGACTAACCTGCCTCACATCTGCCTTCTGCCTCTCCTCTTGTAAATGTGCCCACACTCATCTTTATTTGGACCTACAGCAACAGTCTGTTCTGTTTTGTGACTGCTTAACACCATTTACTTTAACCTCTGAATTGGACGTTAGAACAAGTGAATCTGTGTAAAACGCTTCATCTTAATTGAGCTAAAAAGTCATAATAACCTCCCGTAATGAGACATAAGGAAGAAGAGCTTTCCTTGCTTCTTGACATGCTTTGATACAGCTTCAGAGTGAACAGCAGTCTCTTGACTTGTTATCAAAGACGGTTGAAAAAAATATAATAATATTGTGAATTCTGAAACTTGATTTGTATTTGCCTTTTAATTTATTTGCAGTTTGGACTGTACTGACCTATTTGAAATGCAGTCTAATAAACTTTTTATAGACTTAAATGCATTTGTTATTATTTGAATACTGAACTCACTTGTCGATTGATTCCTGCCGACTAATCTTGAATACCTTCACTTTAACAGAGGCTGCTGCTCCTTCAGTAAAAAATCAAATGATGTGACCCATCTTACACACATAATATAACATGCTTGGTAACACTGTTGCAGGTGTATCATTACATGTAAACTTACTATAAGCGCATGTCTTTTGTAACCACAGTTCTTAAGCTGGTTTTACTAATAGCATAATGTTGTGGTTTTAGATTGAGCTCTTTAAAGCGATGATACAAAATCTCCACCCTACACACATTTGAAAACTACAGTGTTGTAAAATAAAGAAAGTCCAGATGCATTCACCTTCTTAACACTTTGTTCAAATCTGTAAACGGTGCATCAGTCAAGACCAGATTCCCGAGCGTTCTCGTTTCCGGCGGACGATGGCGGCTACATCCTGTTTGAGAGTAGAGACGCTCTGCTCCAGCTGCTCGGAGAAATCCCGCAGCAGATGACTCTGCTCGTCCACAAACAGCCTGAAGCCCAGCAGGTCGGAGTCCTCCTGGAGACCAGAGGAACACACAACCTCAGGAACACACAGGAACACACAACCTCAGGAACACACTACCTCAGGAACACACAGGAACACACTACCTCAGGAACACACAGGAACACACAACCTCAGGAACACACTACCTCAGGAACACACAGGAACACACTACCTCAGGAGCACACAGGAACACACCACCTCACACAACCTCAGGAACACAGACCGAACACACAACCTCAGTGACACACAACCTCAGTGACACACAACCCCAGGAACACACAACCACAGGAACACAGGAGCACACAACCCCAGGAACACACAACCTCAGGAACACAACCACAGGAGCACACAACCTCAGGAACACACAACCTCAGGAACACACAACCTCAGTGACACACAACCACAGGAGCACACAACCCCAGGAACACACAACCTCAGGAACACAACCACAGGAACACACAACCTCAGGAACACAACCCCAGGAACACACAACCTCAGGAACACAACCCCAGGAACACACAACCTCAGGAACACAACCCCAGGAACACACAACCTCAGGGACACACAACCTCAGGAACACACCACCTCAGGAACACAGACCACAGGAAAACACAACCTCAGGAACACAGACCACAGGAACACACAACCTCAGGAACACAACCACAGGAACACACAACCTCAGGAACACAACCCCAGGAACACACAATCTCAGGAACACAACCTCAGGAACACAACCCCAGGAACACACAACCTCAGGAACACAACCACAGGAACACACAACCTCAGGAACACAGACCACAGGAACACACAACCTCAGGAACACACAACCTCAGTGACACACAACCTCAGGAACACAGACCGAACACACAACCTCAGGAACACAGACCGAACACACAACCTCAGGAACACAGACCGAACACACAACCTCAGGAACACACAACCACAGGAACACAACCACAGGAACACAACCACAGGAACACAGACCGAACACACCACCTCAGGAACACACCACCTCAGGAACACACAACGTTGATATGAAACCATACACAGATACCGTATACTCTAGGGCTTAACATGAGAAACTAGTATTAGGTACTTTTACAGATAGCTAACTTAAAATAGATTTATAAAAACAAGAGTTGTCTCAGTTGTCTCAAAAAAACTTTAAATAATTGTAAATAATAACATTTGATCAATTAACTCACATTTGTCTTTTTTTTCTTGGACTGTTTTATCACATTCCAAACATACCATGATCAAGGAAATCTTTGATAGTAGGTAAAACATGTTTTCAATCATCAATCACCAGTGTAATCTTACTAACACTTTTCTTATGCCAGTTAATTTATGTGCCTGATTGTGTGTTGTTCTCTATAGATTGGTATTAAACAAAGGTTTAAGCCTTATTGTAGTAATGCTCACTAATGCTGAGGCAGCAGACAGTTGGTAACGTACACTGGGCCTGTGTCTGCGCAGCCGCTGCAGCTGACCCCTGACTGAGGTCATGCTGTGGTAGAACACCTTGAGAGAGCGACCAAACTCTGCATCACAGCTGGGACGCACCGAGCGCCCCCGCACCCCCTCTCCACCTGACACAGGGAGAGGAAGCTGTCTTAGAGTCTGAATTCTACATGTTATAAACAGGAATATTTTGCCATGTAACAACTGTAAACCAGTTTTTTTTAATAACACTAAAACAGATTTAAATTAGGCTGGTTGTGATGTGTGTGTGTGTCAGTTACCATTCCTGGCAGCGTTGAGTTGTTCTCTCAGAATATGATTTTCTTTTCTCAGTGACGAGTTAACACTCTTCAGTTCCTCCATATCCTGCTGAAGAGCTCTCACTGAACAGCTGATCTCTGCAGAGTCTACAGGCTGCAACACACACACACACACACACACACACACACACACACACACACACACACACACACACACACACACACACACACACACACACACACACACTTTGAATCAAAAATGTCATCATGCCTATCCTCTAAAGTTGTTTGGGATATATTTGTAGGTCCCATCCTATGATCAATTATTTTACAATTCCACTATCAACAACTTATCTTNNNNCACACACACACACACACACACACACACACACACACACACACACACACACACACACACACACACACACACACACACACACACACACTCAAATCATGCCTATCCTCTAAAGTTGTTTGGGATATATTTGTAGGTCCCATCCTCTGATCAATTATTTTACAATTCCACTATCAACAACTTATCTTACAGTTAGGTACATGTATAATCGATAAGGCTGCACATATATCTCCTACAACGTGTTGTTTCTTTGTAAGATTGACAGACTCAACATCAAACTCACTGCAGGGTTAGCTGGGCCTGCCTCCTCGATGATGAAGATGCCCTCTGCAGTCATCCTCACTCCCTCCAGAGATGATACCAGGTCAGTACAACCCTCTGCAACAGAAAACCAGTGTGTTCATCTGCAGTGCCTCCAGTATTAATGTATTACTCACTAACATAGTAATCATTCAACGTGGTGTGAAATGAACATCGTTGATATCTGATATTTATTTTGGGCTGCTGCTGTGAAATTAGATAGTAAAGCAAAACTTTCATAACTTCATATTGCTGTAAAATATATTTGTTTTACATGCACCTTTTGTATTTATTATTTATTATTATTATTATTATTATTATTATTATTATTGTATGCACCTTTTGTAGTAAGTGTTTACTGAAATGCGTGAGCTGAACTCATCACACAGCATCTTCCACAGTCCTCCATGTTTCTCTTCATCCTCACCTTGAAGGCCCCAGAGCTCCAGCACCACTGCGCTGCTCTGGAGGTAGTCTAAGAGACGCTGGGAGGTGTGGAGCGAGGCGAAGTGAACTCTGTGGTCCAACAGAGGGTTGACGTTGTGCCACACGGCCGGAGAGTAGAGAGGATGGCTGCAGTCAAATAACCTGAAACTGAGAGAGCGGAGAAAGAAGGACGACAAATATCTCACTTCTGGATGTGTGTCCTGCCTGTACTTTAACATCTCTACATGTAGCCCATATCTCTCACCCAATCTGGACCCCTCTGTCCCGGGCCTCTCGGATCCAGCGGAGGCCACAACACTGCTCCAGGACCAGCTGGAAGTCCAGACGTCGACCCAGTAACTCAGACGGGTCGATCAGGATGTCGTCCTCGCCCTGAGCGCTGGAAGGCGAGAACATGTATTTAACACTAAATATATTAGTGTTTAAGGTAAGTCACAATATGTGTGTGTTTGTTTGTTTGTTTGTTTGTTTGTGTGTGTGTGTGTGTGTGTGTGTGTGTGTGTGTGTGTGTGTGTGTGTGTGTGTGTGTGTGTGTGTGTGTGTGTGTGTGTGTGTGTGTGTGTGTGTGTGTGTGTGTGTGTGTGTGTGTGTGTGTGTGTGTGTGTGTGTCATACAGTCCTGTGGAAGTGCAGGGGACCAGCTGAGCTTGCAGTATAGCCTCCTCCGTGCCCTCTGACCCCAGCACCTGCAGACAGAGATGATCAACTAAATATCACTCTGTGCCAACCTACAGTAATCAAGCAGGCCAAAAGTGCTTTGCAGAGCAAGATTAAAAGAAAAAATACACAACAATAAAACTAATTTGCAATACATTAGATTACAATAATTAACAATATGTTAAAATAAGTAACTATAATTATTTAGCACAATAGAATGACTAGTAAAACCAATGATTAAGACGTAAAGACTAAGTGAGAACATGGTGAGGCCCCTTTAGATGAAGACACCCACCTCCAGCTGCTCCTCCAGAGGGATGCGGAAGGCCAGGGACTGAAGCCAGAGGTGAGCGGAGCCCAGGAGCAGCGGCTCCACAGGGTCCCAGAAAGGGTCTTTATCTCTGGGTAACACAGCTGTAGACAGACCCTCTGCTATCTGACAGCAAGAACATAATCAGGAACAAAAAACAAACGAGTCAATGTTCTGAAATGTAAAACTATTAATGGTAGAGTAACTAAGGTTGACTGTGCACACATGAAACAACTTACATCATATTTTCTAAGCAGACACACATTCTATCAATCTGCAGCACGTTTACCATCAAAGCACTGAAAGATAACTTGTTTGCGATTGAAGTTATGAGTCTCCTCTCATGCCCCTTTCACAAATGTTGATGTTTTCTCTTTTTAAAGCAGTAAAATAAATACACAACACACATCCCATATACAGTTATTTGGTTAAAGTCCTTTTTTGTGCACTTTTCAGTAAGTTGGGTTTTTTACATTTTCTTAAATAAGTTTGTTTTGCATGTAGTCTGTGAGAAAAATCAACTTGTAAATGGTCTCTACATTTTGAAAGACACAAGCACAGAATTACATTGTCTCTGCTCTTCTCAGCCTGATGCAGCTGGTAGGCGTCTTCCATCAGGAATTTACGGTTCACAAACTTGGTCTTGGACCACATCCATACCTGGGAGAGAGTGTAATAGCAATTAAAAAAAAAATGAAACACCTGAACTCAAACATAAATCGAAAGTGGAATTATTAAAAAGCTTTTGAGTTAGTGTATCTGACAGAAGAGAGATATAATAACCTGTTTTCTTCCCACAGCGGTGACTCTGATAACAATCTCCTTCTTCAGATCGTGGCCTTTTGAATCCGACAGCGCCAGATTCTTGATCTCCAACTTAAACTCAACATCCTAAAAAACACAAGACAATAAGATGTAGGGGTTTATTTGTTGTTAATAACGACCACATGACACAAACTAAAATATATCTGTGTCATTTAAGTTACAAACACATGAAGTTAGGAAGAATGCTTGTGAGTTTTACGACATCTGACAAAAGTAATATACTGTGATGATTCTGTGCTGTAATTCTTTTTTGACTATTATTGATTTATTTAAATGTATTAATTCATGTTTTCATTTAATTTTTTTACTTAAAAATATTTTTAAATCAATGTACTTTTAACTTATTTCACATAGCCAAATGTTAAATGCGGAGGCAATGTTCAGTTAAGTGAGTTCAATTAGTTGAATTTATTTAATCATTAAACTGCATCAGGAAAGCCACTCTTCCTTAATAACTCGTGCTGCTGTTTGTGTGTTACCTTGTTCAGTTCCTGGCTCATCTGGTTGGCCTCGGCCACCATGGGCATCAGTTTGATGAAGTCGTAGAAGACGGCCAGCAGGCTGGGGTCCGTCTGACTGGAGCCAGCGCTGGACTCACCTAACACAGAAACACACAGAAATGATATCTGATCATATTTAGACCAAAGTTAAACCTCTTAACTTCCCGCTGTAGACGCTGCTCACCCAGGTGGATTCCCTCAGCCGCAGCCAGCTCGGACTGGAAGTAGTCGTAGTCATAGCGACTCCAGTCGTCCCCGCCTCTCTCCGAGGGGAAACCAATGAACAGGTAGGTGCAGTTAGAGCCGAGGATCAGACGGTCCTAGAGGAGACAGAAAGGAGGAGGAGGTTTTGTGTATGTATGTCACACGGTCGCATCATAAAGTGTGTGTGTGTGTGTGTGTGTGTGTGTGTGTGTGTGTGTGTGTGTGTGTGTGTGTGTGTGTGTTGACACCCACCAGGTGCTGCAGCTCAGTTGCCTGGGAGACAGAGTTGCCGTTGACAATGACCTTTGACCCTGCCAGTGGGGTCAGTGTTACCCGGCGTTGCTCATTCCTGAACACAGCATGACGCTCCTGGATCCTGCCACAGAAAAACACACATACCAGAGCAGAAGTACATATGCGTGTATAAACTCATGCTTAAAAAGACCAAAAAAGGTCATCTTGAAAATGGCTGTGCTTCCAGACAAGCCAACACTTAAAATATCATTTGATTCAAATGCTTATTTTTAAAAGGGTCACAGGTCCTGCAGCTTATCTAGCATGTACTGGGTGGGTTTTCTGTCTATTCATGTCTTACTCATTGTTAAGGAGAAACACGCAAAAAAAAAGAATAGAAGAGTTTCCAAATCCCATTTGAAGCAATCTGTGTCCAAACTTTGAATTGTGTGTAGTCTGCATACAACCACCTTTAGAAGTAGACTGTTAAGTGTCTTTAATCTCACTTTACTTGGACTGGGTTTGTGGTGTGTTGTTGCTCCCTGAGGTAAACTCACCCTAAGCCCTTGATGGAGATGTATCTCGGGGCGGAGTCACACAGGCCGATGTCCCATTCACCTGAAATGCAAAACAGTATGAATGAGATAAATGAACATGCTAAAGCCGTCATGTTTACATTCAACTTTTGAGCCTGCTTACTTCTGTAGTGTTGTTCATTCCCAAAACCTCACTCTCTACATGTGTACTGGACTAGAGAGAGAGATATTCATCACAACATAAAGAGATACACAGTTACCCTCCTGAATGAAAAGCTTCACCACCCCCGACAGCTGAGTGTCCTCGTTGATGTTCAGGATGTAGGGATGCATCTGCATCATCCTGCGCTCCTGACAGTGCAGGAGAGGGGCAGACAGACACGTTAAAAACATATTTACAGAGTACATGTACAAAGGTGGGGCGAAGCCTGCGAGCTAGTTCAGGCAGTCAACTCGAGCACCAATGATACATTCACACGTGACGCACCTCGTCCCTCTTACAACCAACCAAACACATTCTCCTAAACATGCCGCTCTATTTAAGCTGCCTCTGCCTCGCTATGCTGCTGCTGATGCTGCTGCACTGCTGTGTTCACTTGCTATTGCTATGTTCATGGTCCTGCTGTGTTTCATGTTGCTGCTGCTCGCTTGACCCACCACCACCCCAGCTCCACCCCAGCTCCACCTGTAGGCTCGGGGGATAGTTATCTAATCATCACTCAATGTTCTTTGTAAATCTGTGGAGTGATGAGGCCCGAGCCTAGACGCCAAACTCAAACTATATGCTGTTTATAAGAAAATCACTCCACAGATTTACAAAGAACATTGAGTGATGATTAGATAACTATCNTACAGGGTAAGGGCGGACTGGCCATCTGTGTGTTCTGGAGAATCACAGAACGGCCGGTCGTCAGCGGGCCGTTCTGTGTCTGTGTTCCGGTACGCTGACGACCGGCACCGCCCTTCATTTTTTTAAACGGCATCATGTAAGTTGCGCTGACAGGCGACAGAGGTCCACAGTTGACCCGCAGCGAGGCTCCCCCGCCCTCCCGTAGACAGTTCACGAGCTCAGTCACTTCATAACACCAAAGATGGATCGCGGTAAACGCTCTAAAGTGAGGCTCCACTACACTCCTGAAAGAAAAAGACAAGGCACAGTGTAATGCCTGTTAATAGCTTGCCAAAGGCATAGCTCAGATAAAATAAAGCACAGCTATTGTGTAATACATTTGTAATGAATGTATATTTTTTATTTGTAAAAATGTCAGTTAAAGCTTAAAAGAATAAAGATATTTTTGTTATCTAAATGTTTGACCTCTTTCTTTTACAATTTTGGAATCGAAACGGGGAATCGATAAGAACCGGAATCGATACATTTCAAACGATACCCATCCCTGTACTCTACTGTAGGAAGTAAGGATTTTAGCATATTTGGTACCAAAGTCTTGTAAATTGTGATGTCCCTAGTGCAAACACAATCAAAATATTTTTGGGATAATGAGATTTAACAAAGCATATTCCCTTAAAGCCTTTAAGAAACCATGTTTTCAATGAAAATGTGTGATCCCTCTTCCCATTGCTCATGAAAGCAAGGACACAGCAACAATGATGAGAACAGAGGAAGGAGAAGTCACTTTAATGGATGAAGTTCTTAAATCTTACCGTCACATCAATCATCCATCCTTATTCAACTCAGCTAAGGACACGGCAGTTAATTCTCCTCAAACACAGTCTCTTACAGCACAATATCAGCCTCTTTCTTGGCACAAGCCAAAAGACAAAATGAGTGTGGGGACAGTTAAAGCGGAAGAGAGCTGGAAAGAGATAAAGGAGAAGAGCAGAACATATTATGCAGAGAAGATAAACCGGGGAAGGATTTAAAAAAGACTCGAGCACAAAGAGAGAGCAACTATAGAGGACAGACTTGACAGATGTTGTTGTGTTTTAAATACAAAAATACGTTGCATTTGCAGTCACATTATTTACAACCATAAGCCTCATTGCATCTTATCTTACAGTAATGTTCACAAAATGCACACACTGTACCGGAGAAGGATAGGGTGATTAGCAGGCTGAAATAAATNCCGCTGACGACCGGCCGTTCTGTGATTCTCCAGAACACACAGATGGCCAGTCCGCCCTTACCCTGTATTCCACCGGGTCACCGTTTAGGAACCGTTAAGCAGAACCAAAATTGTGTATTTTGTATGGGTACCCAGTACCCGGCATTTTCTTATTGGTTCTCTTCTGGAACAGAGTTTCGGTTCCCAACCCTAGTAGAGTGCTGCCGGAGGGTATGGGTATCGTTTGGATTTCGATGATACGGATTCTGTTAATCGATACCAGCATTTATTGATACTCTTATTGACACCGTCATTTGGTGTAAAAACTAAAAACATTTAATGAAAAGGTGTGAAAAGATTCAATAACAGTTCCCTTTATTATCGCCATTATCACACGAGCAGCACGCTCCTCACCAACCGTAGCGTAACACAAATAATCAGGCACTGCTACAGTACAAGTTCTCGATGCCCAACCCCAAGGGCAGGGAATGAAATACTGAGTGGTACCGTCAGGGCTCCTAATAACGGTGTCCCAAAGACGATGAGAATTAGTTTGGAGTTCATCCCTATATAATGCTACACTGTGAACAAATCTGTGTCAAAGTTGGCAAAAGGAGACCTAGTTTACGTTAGCTGTTGCTAATTAAGCGAGCTAACATAACCAGAGTGAGGTTCCATTGAGTTGCATGCGTATGAAGTAAAGTAAATCATAACGTCATCATGATTATCAAATGAAATCTTGTAAAAAAGCTGTTTTTTTCACAAAAATGTATAAATACCTACAGTTGCTTTCAAGAAATTGTTCTTCTTAGAGAGGGAATTATGACCTTTTTTAAAATTCAATCAAAAACCAGTAGGTAACCATTTTAAAAAACACAAGCGGGTTTAATTACCTTTTTGTTTTTTACCACGGTATCGTGTTGGGTCACAATAATTTAGAAATTTGACTGGTGTTGTTATCGACTAATACATTTCCTATTTGTCACCTTTTGTTCTTTTCACTTTCAATGTTGGACTGCTGTATTCACATACTGATGTTGCACACCACAAGCTCTCATATAACCTCTATTGAGAGTTACCGACTGTCCACAATAACCTTGCATACTGTGAGTAAGTATGGGCAGCTTCTGAAGCATTATGCAGCAGTAAATGGTTAGAAGCTGTTTGCTGGCTGCATGGCTCTGAAATGTCTTATCAGCCACTCAGAGAGCCGGTGGTTCAATGGATGGCACTCCTAAAACTGTCCAATGATGAATGGCCCCAATTATGACCATGACCTTTCTCTTTGTTGCTCATGCTTTCTCCTCAATCCCTTTCCTACGCTTCGTTGGTCTGTTTACCTTTCCTACTCTCAGAGATCCTTCGTCCTTTTTTCTTTGTTGGGATTTCCTTTCTTACCCTTATCTTCCTGTGGACTTTGCTTTGCCTACATTTGAAAATGTAGCATACCCCCTGCCTTGGTCCTTATGAGATTCAGTGTGCATGAGAGTGTCTAAGCACAGAAAATAAATAAAACCAGGAGGTCTCTGGTTGTGAAAGGGAAAAAGGACTGTCCCCTCTTTCCATTCCTCGATGCTTCAGGCCGAGCTGGATGCCCATTAAAAAGGAAATTGGCAGCTATAGCAAGTTGATGTGGGCTCTTGCCCTCTTTGACTCCTGCTGGCTGTTCTGATGAGTGAAAAAAGCAAAATACAATGAATAATTTAACTAGTGTTTGACTCTGACTCTTTCAAGGGGTCAGAACAGGTCACATACTTATTTTATACGTTTTCGCTTCACAATTTCATATTCAAGCTTCACTTCATACATTTGATAAACCTGTATGTTATATTTCCTGTAGATCTATAAATATTTTATATTATTTGCGAAAAAATCTTCCTCGCTCCACTGTTTGTATTTAAGTTTCTCGATTAAGATGCTAATGCCAAATTCTAATATTGCAGAGTAGAGCAGGAAATATTATAATGTATTTCAATGTAACCAACGACTGCTAACCGCTAACGTTAGCTGTGAGTTAATATATTATTGACTTCTATGTTTATGGAACCGATAAGTAGACTTTCTCCACATTAAGTGTTAGACAGTAGAATTGACTATTCTTGTCTGTCACATAAGTGGCCCAACTGAAGCGGTATTGCACTAAAGGGAAATTATTTTGACCGAAGAGATTTAGATTTGCCGGCTAACGGGAACTCTGACGTCGCCAATTTGTGTGCCAAACAGCATCTAAGACCTGCAAAAATCTAAATGTTCTAGGGGGAGGCCCCCCAAACCCTTCATGTCATTTCGTCCGTGCGCATTTTTCAGGGCAATCTCTATTGGGCTCAGGGCCATCTGTAAATTAGCTTAGATGGCCCACAGGGCCATCTCCCAAAATCCTTAATGTCATGCACTGATATCATATTATTCTGAAAAGGACCAATCTGCACAATTACTACTTTTTACTGTCGCTACTTTGACTATATTTTTGATGATAATACTTTTCTACTTTTACTAGAGGAACATTTTTGAATGCAGGATTGTTCCTACACTCTGGTACTACTTTTACTCAAGTACTTCTACTTTTACTTAAGTACAAGATCTGAGTAGGCCTACTTCTACTTTTACTGTCGCTACTTTAACTATATTTTGATGATAATAATTAGGCCTACTCAGATCTTGTACTTAAGTAAAAGTAGAAGTACTTGAGTAAANCACACATCTTATTGTGAGGTTGATTTCACATACACTACTTCGACATTAGTTGTCTACATACTTGAGCATAGCCAATTTAAATTAACCTTAGTGATGCATACAGTTCCTACCTAAATAATAATAATCTCTCTAAGTTACAAGGATGACCTTATTTTATCAACCTCAAACAGAAGCCGTATGTTGTACAGTATTAGCCCACTTAACACTTGTCTATTTCGTTTTAACCTTTATATAGCCTATAGTCTATGATTTTAACTTGGAGGCTACTATTAGCATCGTTAGCACCGATGTAGCTACCACTAGCTTACACGCTAACCCAAGCCGTAACATTAATTACGTAGCTGATTAAAATCATTAACCAGTGCATGACATTAAGGATTTTGGGAGATGGCCCTGTGGGCCATCTAAGCTAATTTACAGATGACCCTGAGCCCAATAGAGATTGCCCTGAAAAATGCGCGCGGACGAAATGGCATGAAGGGTTTGGGGGGCCTCCCCCTAGAACATTTAGATTTTTGCAGGTCTTAGATGCTGTCTGGTGCATTCTCTAGACTGAATTATAAGATGAACCACCACAATATTTAG